ATATATTAAGTTGTATCAAAATATAATATAAAAATATTATTTAAAATAAAAAAAAATTAACTTGAAATTATTTTTTATGTTTTTTTTTATGTGACGAGCTTTTTATGATGTGGCTGCCACATGTGCTGGGACCACCACCGCAGACTTTTCCAGCCTCTCCCCAGGTCTCCAGCCCAAAAAAAAACGGAAATAAAAAAAATATTATTATTTCCATTAAAGACACGAAAAAAAAAAAAAATACACCTCCACCCTGCTCGACCTCCCCTCACCCGATTCCACAAATTCACCATTCTAGACGTTACGTCAAGCTAAAACCATTCTCCTCCCTTTTAATCCTTTTCATTTCTTCCCTCTCAAACCCATCACCGCGTGACCTACTGTTACACATGTTTTTTCGCAGTTTATGTATTATGAAGAATGTTAATCAAAATGAAAATTAATTTAAAGTGTTAATTATAAAAAAAATGTGTAAAGGAAAATAAAAGCATTGGTCAATTAAAAATTATATATAAGATTTATACATAATTGTTTTTTAAACATGAAATAGTACTTGAATTCCACCCTATCATTAGCATGAGATAGTCCCTAACAAGATAAGGTGGCCAATAGACCGGACTTCTCATACATAATTTTTAATTAAGACATGTATTGAAAGTTTTACATATGATTTCTTTTTTTTTTTTTTTAAACTTTTTTACAAGGGTAATTTTTAGAAAGTTAGTATGAATTAGTTGTTAGCAACTGATGATTCGATCCCTAAATCGGGTGACCATTTCATCCCTTCAAATGAGGCGCGCGGCCATCAGGCTGCTTTTGGTGAAGTTCACAACAGTGGTAGAGTTCGAAATTCCGACCACCTCACCCAAACGCTTAAAATTTGAGGTCGAACCATTGGATCTAAAGGTTGGTTCTTACATATGATTCTTAATTAAGACTGACACATAGAAAAGGACAACTTTAAAATTTATGCATAGAAAAGGACAACTTTAAAATTTATGCAGAGAAAGTCTTGCACATAATTTTTAATTAAGACTTACGTATAAAAAGAGGACAACCTTAAGACTTGGTCTTATGCAAAGAAGGTCCTTACATAATTTTTAATTAACACTTATGTATAGAAGAGGGCAACCTTAAGACTCATGTAAAAAAAGTCGTGTACATGATTTTTAATTAACACTTATGTATAGGAGAGGGCAGCCTTAAGAGTTATGTAAAAAAAGTCTTCTACATGATTTTTAATTAACACTTATGTACAGAAGAGGGCAACCTTAAGACTTATGTAAACAAAAGGTCTTGTAAATGATTTTTAATTAACACTTATGTATAGAAAAAAGACAACCTTAAGATTTATGTAAAAAAAGTCTTGTGCATGATTGTTAATTAACACTTATGCATAGAAAAGGAACCTTAAGATTATGTAAAGAAAGTCTTTTACATGGTTGTTAATTAAGACTTATGCATAGAAAAGGGCAACCTTAAGACTTATGTAAAGAAAGTCTTGTACATGGTTCTCAATTAAGACTTATGTAAAAAGTCTTGTACATGGGTGGCAACACGTGGGTTAACTAGATAGTAGCACGTGTGGTGTTATGTCATCACAAGGGGTTAATAAATACCCCGCCTACCTCCACCCAAGGTAATAGCTTCATTATGCTTCTCTCTCTAAAATATCAAGTATTGCTAACTTAAGCATCGAAGTGTTTTCCTCAAGAAAACATCCTTGGGTTTTTTAGGTGTTAAAACAGTTGAAGCAGTTGAAGATCTCTACAGTGTAGGTTGGTAAAACTGCCTAAATAGGTTTGGATTAACATAAGTTAACAAGGGTTCGGATTAACATAAGTTAACCTAATTCCAAATTAGGACTTAAATTATCCTACCTGAAAAGGACTTCACAAAAAATTGAACTTCATACAAAAGTTGAACTTAGGACTCAAATTATCTTGTTTGAAATTATCCTATTTGAAAAGGACTTGATAAATAAGAGTTGGACTTAGGACTCAAATTATCCTGTTTGAAAAGGACTTGATAAATAAGAGTTGGACTTCGGACTAAATGATCCTGTTTGAAAAGGACTTGATAAATAAGAGTTGGACTTAGGACTCAAATTATCCTGCAAATTATCCTGTTTGAAAAGGACTTGATAAAAAAGAGTTGGACTTAGGACTCAAATTATCCTGCAAATTATCCTGTTTGAAAAGGACTTTATAAAAAAAAGTTGGCCTGGAAATTATCTTATTTGAAAAGCACTTTCTAAAAATTAAGAATGTGTTTTCTTATAAATTGCCTCATTATGTTCTCACACTTCATTCTCCTTAATCTTTCAACAAATTCTTCACTACTAGTGCAGGTTCTCCAATGGAAAATTTGACGGTGGTTCTCCGAACAAGAGCTCTTACTCCTTATGGGATTGCCTCGGGCAGGGTCAGTGCCTCCAACCGACACTTTGTTGAAGAAATGCCCAGGATTCCACCAGAGCAGAAGTCAAGACCGTTTCTGGCTAAGGATGCGCAAGGGCGCCGCATTTATCACCTTAAGTACAATAGGAGGATGAGGGGACTCCGTCCGAAGCAAACAATTACTGGACTAAGACGCTTCTTCCAAGAGCATGGTTTGCAACCTGGGGATCGAATTACCGTGTACAAGGAGGAGGCCAATGAGGTGATCTTGATGGGAAAACTCATCTCTCCACTCTATGTGATCCACTTTGAGAGGGTTAACTAAGTTGCAGACCGGTGATGATCATGCTCCTTGAGAAAGCTGAATCAGCCTGTTAAAAGATCAAGGCGTTTTCTGGTAGTTGCTTCTGTTTGTATGTTTGTTTGTTTTTTTTTTTTTCTTCATGTCTTGCTGTTGTGGACTTGTGGTTTTCCAATAATAATAAATGTAAGTGTTAATAATAATAATAATAATAATAATAATAAATGTAAATCAAGAATGTCAAATCCTCTCTCTCCATCCACCTTTTCTCTTTCTTCTCTCCTGCTTGTGCTTCCCTTCCTCGGCGCTGTGTTGGTTTTGCTCGAAAGCCTTTGAGCTTTCGAGGTTTTGATACTTGAGCCGTCGGGCTTCCCGACCACTCAAGCATGCTGGAGTCGCTCTGTGCTCCCTCCTTCGATGATCCTTTCAAGTTTGTCGGCTTTTAGGTTCCTTTTCAGTTACCCCTTTTGGTTTTCCTGTTTTTTAGTTGTTTTGTTTTGCTTTTTATTCTTATATAGTTTATGTTTTTGAGATCAGACGACACTCGGCTCTATCCTGCAGATCTTGGTAGGTGCTCGTTGATTTTTCAGATTTGACCACCACCAGCCTAGATCTCTGCTGCGATGTCCTGGAGATTCTTCAAAGTTAATCGA